AAAATTTCAATCCCTTATTAGATTTATTTTGCCTTGGTTTGTACCCTGGGTGTCCACAGAGCTGAAATTAGCCAGAGAAGTGGCAAATCTCCCTTGACTTGGTGTCTACTAAGAAGCAACATTAAATTAGCATTTGATTGAGTTTGCTCTTGAATTTCAGGATTTCCCTTCATCTGCTGAAAAGGTCATGTGGAAGAGGTCGACAGTCTGGGCTGAGGTGGTATTTCTCGTTTCTGGTTTGGTTTGTTTGGATATTTTTGGCAGCGAACACTGGCGTTTGTTTGCTTGTTTATAGAGAGTCCTTTATTTTACCCTGTGTGAACCTGACATTTCACCTTTAATATAAATAAGTTGCAAATAAAGCAGTAGTAATTTAATCCTGAGCCAACCAGAATAACTCAATACAAAAGCTGAGCATCTAGAAGCTTCTAAATGTGTCTGCTTTTGTTGGAATGACAACCTCCCTGCAGTAGCACAGGGATAAATGGTTCAAGGAAATAGTAAAAGACAATGGTGTTTTTAATTTCCTATTCACTGACTCAGTTGTCGTTCACAACGGCAATCAAACCATGTTGACATCTTAGCTCTGTTAAATGGTCTTGATGACAGACACCCAAATGTTCCTGGTTCTGACCATTACCTGGACAATAATTTTGGGTCCCTTCCCTCTCTCTCCTCTTCCTCCTCGACTTCCATGCACACAAACATACTACCTGTGTGTCTTTGTGTAAATAGCCTAACCTTTTTGAGAGTTCTTCTTATCTGTGAAATGTTGATATTTCTCTCCCACAGCTGTTTTGAAAATAACATGAATTGTGAATGTGTTTTTGCACTGTGTCCAGAATATAGTACATGCCCAATAATGTGAGCACCCTTTTGCTACGTCTTTTGTTGTCTTCAGGGCTGACTTCACAGATATGTGACTCAACAGGGCTTCATGCTTCCCAGGGCCCCACTTGTGGTTTCATGCTCTACTGTCATTGCCAAAAATTCTTAATATTTTTTTCAACAACAGGTCCACACTTTTATTTTGTAGTGGACCCTCCAAATTATGTAGCTGTTCTGCCCCCCCTTTTTTTTTTACTCTTTCTCCCCCTTTTAAAACTTTTTGGGCCTACCAGATGTTCTCTTGGTTGGCTGGGTCATTCAGCCAGTCGCCCACAAGGTGTTCTGCTGGTCAGAGTGGTGCCCATGGCTAAACCGTGTTCCGAGCCTTGGCCTAGGGGTTACCCATGTACTGCACAGGGTTTCACCGTACTTCTGGTTAAGGTGCATGTGTATTGGTGAAGATGTAGCTTTGAACAAGGAAAGCTTTTCTGAAAATATGACTTCTAGTTGACCCAGCACAAAGAGAGTTTAGTGCTCCCAACAGCAGCCAACATGTAAACTGAAGGACATCAGGCCGTTGGTGGGTTTTGCTTCCATGTTCTATTCCCTACTTTTCCACATCAGGGGCAAAGCCAGGTTTTGTAAGACCTGAGCTTATGTAATTTAGAGGCCTTCTGTAGAAGCAAATATCACGACTATACCAGTAACTGAAGTTCTAATGTGGTGTGTCCCTGTAGTTTACTTAAAGGAAGGAAAAAGTCCCAGGTTTTCCCTAAACCTACCAGCATTGTTATTTGTGATACTCGCCGGGTTAGGACCTAACTCATTCAACAGATAGCCGATAAATGTTCATTGATTTCATTAAATATCGACTGGAAATTCTGAATAGTTTTATCTGACTTAATTGTTTATGTCTCCAACTAAATTAAATATATATATATATATATATATATATATATATATATTTTTTTTTTTTTTTCCTGAGATGGAGTTTTGCTCTTGTCCAGGCTGGAGGGCAGTGGCACAATCCCGGCTCACTGCAACCTCTACCTCCCAGTTTCCAGGGATTCTACTGCCTCAGCCCCCAAAGTAGCTGGGATTACAGGAGTGCGGCATCACACCCAGCTAATTTTGTATTTTTTAGTAGAGATGGGGTTTCACCATGGTGGTCAGGCTCGTCTCGAACTCCTGACCTCAAGTGATCCACCCACCTCAGCCTCCCAAAATGCTGGGATTACAGGTGTGAGCCGTGGTGCCGGGCCTAAATTATAATTTCATTTTTTTAAGATGGGGTTTCACCGTGTTGGCCGGGCTGGTCTTGAACTCCTGACCTTGTGATCCACCAACTTCGGCCTCCCAAAGTGCTGGGATTACAGGCATGAGCCACCATGCCCAGCCAATTACAATTTTTATAGTAAAACCTTAGAGATATAATTACTAATTCTTTGAATTCTCCATAGCACTATCTTATTTCTTTAGCAGAGTGCTCAGTAAATGTTTGTTAATTTATATATATGTCATATATATAATATATATGTTGTTATACGTATCATATAAATGTATATGTTCATTTATATATACATAACATGTATGTTAATTTTTGTATATACATACCATATTTGATATATAACATGTTCCCATACTATATGGCCAGGACAGAACACCAGGCATTTCATTTGATTGAGGGTTGTCAAACCGATAATCTGCCTACCTACTAATTCCTAAAGATGGAAGGGACCTTACATATCACCTGGTGATGCCTTTATTTTACTGATGAGGAAGAAGTGCAGAGAAGTTAATTGACTTTATAAAGCAGTTCCATGGCCTGGACTAGAATTCAGGCTTCTCAACTTGAGGTCCGGTGATTATTTTGCTACAGAATGCTAAGTGTGTGCCTAAAGAATGTGGGGGAAAAAGAGAAATTATATATAGTTTACTTAAGTTACAGAGAATTTAATAAGATTCTTTAACATTAAAAGTATTTTGTTTTATCAGTTTCATCAGTAAGGTAGAGTAATGATTTCAAGTTTAATGCTAGATTAATTTGCCTTGTAAAAACTTCATTGTACTGAAATGGGGAGGAAATGTACAGAATTAGAGTGGTCATATTTCTTGCAGACAATGTTTTTGATTTATGATACTATCCCATTATTTCTTATGTCATAATTTATCTCAAAGCTTTAATTTAGAATTATTGCATCTTTCTAAAAGAGGAAAGAATCATTTTGTCTAAGACAAATAGCAAATATATCATGAGGATGGCTTTTAATCTTTAATTTACCCTCTTTTCCTGATTTTGATAAATATTAAAACTTTGTATTATAAGCCGCAATTCAAGCCATAGAAAGACTCCAAGGAAGAACATCAAATAATCGGAAATAATCTATCTGCCCAGATGACCCATACTGACCACACAGTTAAAAGGCTTCCCTCCTACTGGAAGATCAGATGTCCTTTAGCACTAAAAAATCCTGGAAGAATAATTTCCTTCAGTTCTTTGGGATATCTGTTCTCTCCTCCATTGGGCAGGCAACAAGTCCAAGACATTATTAGCTCTGGCTGCATTTTCCTATAATCTAGAGAGCGTTTTGTTCTGTTTTGTTTTTTGTTTTGTTTTGTTTTGTTTTGTTTGAGACAGTTTGACTGTTGCCCAGGCTAGAGTGAAGTGGCGCAGTCTCGGTTCACTGCAAGCTCTACCTTCCAGGTTCAAGCAATTCTTGTGCCTTAGCCTCCCAAGTAGCTGGGGCTAGAGGAACAAACCACCATGCCCAGATAATTTTTGTGTTGTTAGGAGATATGGGCTTTTGCCATGGTGGCCAGGTTGGTTTTGAACTCCTGGCCTCAAGTGATCCACCTGCCTCAGCCCATCCATAAATGGAAAGGCAGGTTCTACAAAATCCCACTCTTTTTCTCTCCAATCCTGATCTGAGAAGTAGGGAAGAGAACAGAGGGTTCCAGGTGTGGGCCTGGAAGACAGATTATGTTTTGTTTTCTTCTATCTTTGTTTTTGTGCCAAAGGTATAAAAAGAGAATAACGGCCTCTGCTGTCTCCCAGAACAAAGCTTTTCCACCTCAGCGCTGTGAACATCTGGGGCTGGATAAGGCTTTGCTGTGGAGGTCCTCCTGTGTTTTGTAAATTCTTAAGCCGTTTTCTTGCCTTTGACTCACTGGATGCCAGTGGCATTCACTTCCCCAAGTTGTGACAACCAAAAAATGTGTACAGACATTGCCAAATGTCCCCTGGGGCTGAGGGGAGGGGGTGGGAAATGGCCCTTGGGTGAGAACCATTGTCCTAGAGCTAACAGCAGAAGCTCTGATGGAGACTTCAGCAGCGATGGTTATTAGGCTGTGGCTTTTGTGAGTATTGGCAACTGAGTATTGGCAAGGATTGTTGTGCTGGGGAAGACATTGCTGGAGATGGCAATTTGGGCCCAGGCAGCAAGAGAGGCTCTGAAGGTCATGGCTATGACGATGTCTCATCAAACAGGCAGTGGGAGAGACGCGAAGGCTCTGGGTTAAGCAGCCATGTCAGGCAGCCAGGAGGAGGGGAGCAGTTGCAAAGACTTGGAGGAGAAGGAGGACTTTGATTGAACTTTGCTTGGGGCTGCGGGACATGAGCTGACGAGGCAGCACCTAAAAGGGCTGAGAGGGCACTTGAAGGCCACTTTGAAAGGACTAAAATGTCCTATTGGGCCTGAACTATTGAAGATAGCCAACAAGAATAAACTTCCCTCCATAGGTTGGAACTCTCTAGACATTAAATCAGTGAAAGGAAAAAAGAGCAGGCTTTGCTTTGAAATCTCAAGATTTATTTAACACTGTAATTAATGTCTCATTAGTCAAAGGTATTAAAATAGGACCTTAAAAGTCACAATGCATTTCCTTCACTCTCATAAACCCAGGGTTCTTTACTTATTTCACTCTCCCTCCTTAGATAAAAGAGGAAAGGAAGGATAAAAAGGATGAGAGGGAACAATTTTGAAAGCCTGTGAGATTAATCCTGACTCCAAAATTTAAGTAGCATAATTCTACCACTTAGGCTTGGGAGGAACCCTTCTTGCATCTGTGCTTTTCCATGATATTCTCATACAGAAAGACAACCGATTCTGTCTACATTGACAAGGGGAATCACGGCTTTTGGTAAAACAATTGACAAAACATTTGTGTGTGTGTATGTACAGTAGGTTCTTTGAAACAAACAAAAAAACTCAAAGCTGAAATACTTTCTAGGGTTGGTTCACATAATTCACCACTTTCTCTTTTATTGAGAATTATAAACTTTAAAGCAGAAAGTGATTCGACATTATCTGGTTCATCAAGCATCAACCTAAATAAAAAGTATGGACTATGAGAATGTTGCATTAACTAATTTCCACCTTAAAAATACATGTGTGGCTAAATATAAGGAATATTCAAAGGGGCTTAAGCTTCAAAGTAAGACAAATTCCGTAGCTCTCTGTTTCCCATTCTGACATGTCTAACTACCATTTTACCTCTGCTCTTTCAATAGTTTAGAAAATGTACTGTTAATTCATCATCGAGCATTTCAACGGAAATAAACCGATTGCCTCTTGGAAAAAATGTTGAATGTGTTTAGAGAACCCTACACCAAGGTTTAGCTGGTTGCATTCCAAGTCTCATATCAGGTTGCAAACAGGCTGCTTTTAGATCGGCTTAGTTTTCGTGTACTTTTTTTTTTTAAGGTCATGGAAGCTGAAGATCGAAAAAGCAAACAAGAAAAAAAATTCTTCAGCTTAGAGATAAGCAGGCAACCCAAAGAACATGTTCTTAAGTATAAGACCTCGGTAATTATACTGAATAGAAATTCAACCAAATGGAGCTGACAGAAGCCCAGGCAGGCAACCAGGAGATTCCTGTGGTGAGTTCTTGTGCTGACTCCCTCTCTATCTTAGTCTCTCTCTACCTCCTTTCCCCCATCTGTTCACTGGGGATATGAGCAATGATGTATATATCACTATGAAAATATGATCTCATGTGTGTGTATTTTTAAAATGTTTATAGGTGCTTAGATCATTTCTGAAAGAAGCACCCTCTCATGAGAAAGAATTAACCCAGAATCCCATATTTTAAATAAATGCAGAATCCCATATTTTATGTATAGTTGAAAATATTATGCATTCATCATAACCACCTCTAAATTAATTCCAAGTTTATGACACCTGTTATCTATACTCCTATGTATAAATCTATGCATCTGACCTCACTTGTCTTCAGACAATGCTGATTCTATCTCTGGCCTTCCAGGTAATTGAGAAAAAGTTACAGATCTTCTCTGGACATTGCTTCCTTTGCTGTCAAATGGAGAGGGAATGTGGGTAATCTCTGGGGCCTCCAGCTGTAACCTTCTCTAGTCAAGATGAGTCAGCTGGAGTGCCTTAGCCGCTGTTCCACTCCACTTGTGCAAGAGTTTCTGTTCTACCAGAAGTAAGAATGCACGCACTTTTCCACAGGGTTCGAGAAAGGAAAGCTTGTGAATGAGAGAGAGAGAGAGAGTGTGTGTGTGTGAGTGTGTGTGTGAGAGAGAGAGAGGGAGCAAAAGAGGGCTGGGAGTGAAGATGGGAGTTTGGGAGCTATGTTGAATATTGAAGCCTTTGTTTTGAAAAAGCCCAGATAGACAAAAAAGATTTTTAAAATTCTAGCCACAGACCCCTGCTCTGATCTGTGGAGGTATCTGATGCACACAGATTATGATAAGGTCCCTTCTTAGATGAAAATGAGAGGCCCAGTAAGTCCATGGGCTCTGTTTATATATCCATCTTAGTGACCCTGAGCTGTAAGCACCATCAGTAGACTTTCAACACAAAAAATCCCCAATAAGTATAAGACAATTCTAAGAATGAGTGCGTGGATTAAAAATAGCTTAGATAAATGTTAAATAATCCAAAGAAGGTACAAAACAGTGTATAATCTCATTTCTAAATACTAGTTTTTTAAAAATATGTTTGCAAATGAACAGATCATTTTTGATGTTACCTAAGACTGTAGGAACTGATGGGGATGGAAAAGGTGAAGAAGGAAATAGACTTGCTCTTAATATTTTTTTAATTTAAAAACAAATGCCACGTATCCATTTAACTTTTATATGAAAATATTAATTACTTCTGAACATACAGGTTGGATATGATATGAATTGTGTGATGTAAGTGGTTTATGAACCACTTCCCAACGAGCAAGTCATGGGGATGTACTCGGTTGCCTCTAAACCAAACGTTTCCCATGGGAGAAAGAAAACGCAAGTGTTCTTGATGGAAAGGTATTGGGCTTGGCAATGGGACAGGCATGAATCTGGAACCTGGCTCTGTCACCTAATATAGAACTGTGCAGCACTGAGGATGTTAACCTCTGAGCCTGTTTTCTCAACAAAACATAAAAATAATGCCCACTTTCTAGTTAGTTTTTAGGATGGAACCAGATATGAAAGCAGCTCTTTTTACAGTTTTTAAATAGTAGGTGCCAGCAATATAGATAATTTGTATTTATCTGATTGAGTTTGGATATTTGACCCCGTCTCCTGTTGAACTGTAATCTCCAGTGCTGGAGGTGGTGTCTGGTGGGAGGCGTTTGGGTCATGGCTTGGTGCTGTCTTTGTGATAATGAGTTCCTGGCGAGATCTGGTCATTTGAAAGTGTGTGGAACCTCCTCTCTCTCTCCCCTCCCTCTTCTCTCCCACCCCCTACTCCACGTCTCCCCCATCCTGCTTTCTCCATGTGATATGCCTGCCCTGCTTCACCTTCTGCCAAGAGTAAACGCTTCCTGAGGCCTCCTGAAGCCAAGCAGATGCTGGCACTGTTTCCTGTACAGCCTGTAGAACTGTGGTAAGCCCATTAAAGCTCTCTTATAAATTTTCATCTCAGGTATTTCTTTATAGCAGTGCAAGAACAGCCTAATTCATTACCTATGGTCTCATTCTGCATCTGCGTCAGCGTAGCAACTAATATTAATTGATTGATTTCACAGACACTTGTGAACTCCAAATATCTGAGACAGGCCTCAGTCAATTTGGAAAGTTTATTTTGCACAAGTTAAGGACACATACCCATGATACTGCCTCAGGAGGTCCTGGCTACATGTGCCCAAGGTGGTCGGGGCACATCTGGGTTTTATACATTTTAGGGAGACATGGGACATCAGTCAATATATGTAACATGTACATTGGTTCTGTCTGGAAAGGCGGGACAACGCCAAGCGAGGAGAGCGATTCCAGGTCACAGGTAGGTAAGAGACAAATGGTTGCAATCTTGAATTTCTGACTAGCCTTTCCAAATGAAACAATCAGATATGCATTTACCTCTGTGAGCAGAGGATGGCTTTGAGTTCTGTCTGTCCTTTGCCCACAAGAAATTTCCTTGTGAGGAAGGTACCTAGGTTTTTTATCTTAGCAGCTATCTTTTTAAGGAATAGAATGGGAGGCAGGTGTGCCCTAAGCAGTTTCCAGCTTGGCTTTTCCTTTTGGCTTATTGATTTGGGGGTCCCAAAGCACTTGCTTCTAAATTCCAAGTAAATAGAAACTCATTTAATTTTAGAAGACTCCTAGGAGGAAGGGGTACTGTGACTATCACCCACCTACCCAACTTTTTTTTTTTTTTTTTTTTTTGAGACAGAGTTTCGCTCTTGTTACCCAGGCTGGAGTGCAATGGCCTGATCTCGGCTCACCGCAACCTCCACCTCCTGGGTTCAAGCAATTCTCCTGCCTCAGCCTCCCGAGTAGCTAGGACTACAGGCGTGAGCCACCATGCCCAGCTAACTTTTGTATTTTTAGTAGAGACAGGGTTTCACCATGTTGACCAAGATGGTCTTGATCTCTTGACCTCGTGATCCACCCGCCTCGGCCTCCCAAAGTGCTGGGATTATAGGCATGAGCCACTGCGCCCGGCACACCCCCCTACATTTTACAAATGAAAAAACTTAGGCACAGAGAGGTCAAACAATTTGCCCAGAGTCACAAAGCGAGCAAGTGGTGAAGCGAAGATTCCATTCCGTGCATTGAACACAGTGCTTGCTCTTAGTCTCCGTGTGGTGCCTGGCTCTGTGCAAAACTGGAAATACAGCCCAGTGTCTGTAAAACTGTGAACCAAAAATAAAACTCAACACCTCCTCCACTCCCCAGGGCACTCTAAAATTTAACCTGGAAGACTGGTTCAGGCCATGATGTACAGTGGGGACTGCAGGTGCCTCATTATACCCTCGAGCATCAATAGCAACACAAGCCTGAAGTCTGACAAGAGACTTTTATAGTCTATGCTCTCTAAAGCCTGCTACTTGAAGACTTCAGCTGCATGATAAAACCTTGGTCTTCACAACCCCTTATCATAACCCAGACATTCCTTTCTACAATAATAACACTGATAATAACTTTTTCAACTAATACCAGTCAGAATATGCTTAAATCTACCTATGACCTGGAAGCCACCCTCTCCTTTTGAGCTGTCTTGCCCTCCAGACCAAACCAGTGTAAATCTTACATGTGTTGAGTGATGTCTCCTGTCACCCCTAAAATGTATAAAAGCAAGCTATACCCCAACCACCTTAGGCACATGTTGTCAGGACCTCCTGGGCTGTGTCACGGGGTTTCCCGAATCTTGGCAAAATAAACTTTCTAAATCGATTGGGACTTGTCTTGGATACCCTTTGGTTTACAAAACAAATGGCTGTCTCTGGGGGAATGTGCTGGATATCCAAGTCAGAGATGCTGCCCTGTGCCCCTTTCCCTTCTCCACAGGTCTGGGAGTTCAATAGGACTAGTTAATTTCCTTTCTTCTAGATAGACGCAGTGAAGAAAAGTTCTGCCCGCCTCAGCTTCAGCCACGGCAGAAAATGCTCCACGTGAGCTCCAAGTGCCCAAGTTCAGGCTTTGAGTCACCACATTTGCACCTCTGCCACCTCAAGGCAAATAGGAAATATTAGATTATGCTTGTGTTTACTGCATTTAATAAACATTTGTTGAGTCTCACTATGTGCTTGAGCCTCTAAGAGTGCATGAGATGACAGTGTAAATGACCAGTGGCTGCCCTCCAGTATTGTGGCTGGAGATCATTAGGACATAACCAGAAAAATACAAGCAACAATAGGATAATAGATGCTGTTAAGTGAGTTGAAGGATGTGGTTCATCTGCAGAGCAGACCAGTTCAAAGTTGAGTCTGACCACAGGAATGAATAAGAGAAAACTTCCTGGAAGGCTTGACCCTCTTTGCATAATAAAACCTTCAGATAGTTACATTCAATCCTGAAGTTTAGTCCCTGGAGGCATTAGAATACTAGGAAGTTTTCTTTCTGAGGATTAAATTGGCCGTTTTCATTTTGTGAGTGATGGAGATAATTTTTTTCCAAAAATGCTTCCAGAGCTCCTGGACCCTGGGGTAGCCCCTTTTCTGTTTTCCCACGTTACCCTTTGTCTGGGCACATGTCTACCTTTGCTTCTTGCACATATGTTTTAAGGATCTGCTTAAGGGTCTTTTCCTGATCTTGGGTTTGGAAGGGACAGAGTTAAACCAGATTAAACAGGTTTCTGCTGAAATACTTCCCTGAGCTCATAGCTATTGTGAATATGCAGGTTTTCCAAAACTTATTTGACCACTGATTCTCATTTCAAAAATGCCTTTTTAAATAAGTCATAATGTGACGGGTGGAAGGTATCTCAGATACCTCGCCAAATCTATATGGTTCTACAGCAATCTCAATTCTTGCCTCTTCAGAAGAAAGAATTCAACTGAGGGGCATAAAGCAGGAAAAGAGACCAAGGCAAGTTTCAATGCAGAAGTGGAAGTTTACTAAAAAGGCTTTAGAACAGGAAAGGAAGGAAAGAACACGTGGAAGAGATCCAGTGGGTTACTTGGAGAACAAGTGCGGTGTTGAACTTTGATCCCGGGACTTCATGGGCTGCCATCTTGTACCCCTTTCCCTTAGGGTGATTCTTTCCTTACAGTGGGCAGCCCAGATGCCCAGCGCCTGCCTTCTGGGAGGTGAGCATGCGCAGTGTGTTTAGGAAGTTGTACGCATGCCCATCTGAGGCTGCTTTCTTCCTTTCTCCGGTGGTATGCTCCGGAAGGTCATGCTCTATTTTGTCTCTCAACGTCCATTCCCAGGAAGTTGCTTTTCTGGATGTTCTGCATTCTGTGAACACTTTCATGTTAACAGCTGTGGATCAGCAGGACCTTGTCTCTTCCTGGCTCTGGCAGCCAAATTATCATTTTTAGGGAGTCAATGTGATAATTGTCGAACCATCATCTGACATTCCTAGTGGGCGTGGGAATTCCGCCCCACTCATGCCTGTTTAACTACATGTAACAAGACTAGTAATCCAAGAATGCAGTTTTAGAAGCACTGTGGTAGCTGCGAAGGAGAGCGAAATCATGAGATAAGGCCCTTGTCCTTGAAGAACTCAGAATTTAGAGGGGAAGATAAAAGCCTAAACAAGGAATTAGAATTTAGCCCACTAATGCTGGAAAACAGGTATATACAATGGATATAAGAGAAGAAGAGGAGAGAGGAGGAAAAAAAAGGTCAGAGAAGGCCTCAAAGAGAAGGTAACGCAGGGACAGGGAGTTGAATGACTTAATTTACCAAAATAAAGGGAAGCGGCATTCCAGGTAGTGAGCACACATGTGCAAGGGTGTGGAATTGTGTAACAACATGGTCAGTTTTGGAGACAGACACTATGTGTATCTAAGGTATGAAGTACTACTAGGAAAATGTCTGTAAATAAGCCTACATAGAGAAGAAAGAGTGTGTGTCAAGAATTGTGTCTAGATTTTATCTGGTAGGAGACCATGAGAAGTCATTGAACTGTGGAATAACATCATCAGCTTCCTACTTTAAAGAAAACTGTAGAATCGCATTGGAGGATTGACGGGGAGGTTGTAAAACTGGATACAGGTGACTGGTTGGTAAACAACTGGAATATCTGGATGAAAAATGATGAAGAGTAGCCAAGAAATTGGCAACGGAGAAGGAAAAGTGTGAACAAATTGACAGACGATTAAAAGGCAGATTGACTCACACACGGAGAAAGGTGGATGAGGCAAGGATGGTGCAGTGGTTTCAAGCCTGGATGGACACTGGTGTTATTATCTAGCAGGGAGAACAAAGGGCACAGAACAGAGCCAGTTTGGAGAGAAGAGAATAGCTTCAGTTCGGGGTATATTGATTTTTAGGTTCTTATTTAATTTATAGGTAGACTTACAGGTTTGGAGTTTAGCTAGAGATACATATTTGGGAGTTGTCATCTTAGAAATAGTATCTCAAGCCAAGGGAATGGATGAGATCACCCAGCAAAGTGAAAAAGGAAATGCAAAGATGTGAGCCAAGTGCAGAACCCTGGAGAACAAATGTCAAGTGGGCCTGGAGGAAGGAGCCAGGAGGTCCCAGTGGACGGATCTGGCAAGGCCTGGTGGAAATGTGGTCTGGAAATCAGTACATATGTATTGTTCCTGACCCTATAAGGAGTACACGAACCCAGGTAAGAGCTATGCCATGGTGGGAATTCAGGGTCCAGGAGAAAAATCCCAAACTGACAGCCGACCCACCTGCACCTGGCATTTCTTTCTCTTCCCATCTTTGTCAGTCCTTTCAGTTTGTGTCCTGGCTGTCCCTTGTTGCAGTCAGCTCAGGCTGCTATAACCAAACACCATAGACTAGGTGGCTTAAGCAGCAGACATTTTATTTCTCACAGTTCTTGAGGCTGGGAAGGCCAAAATCAAGGTGTCAGCAGATAAGGTGTCTAGAGAGGGTCTGCTTTCTGGTTCATAGACAGGAATTTTCTCACTGTGTCCTCACGTGGCAGAAAGAGGAATGAAGCTCTCTCAGGACTCTCTTTAAGGACACTAATCCCATGCACACTGAAGGCTCCATCTTGTGACCTCATCTGATCCTAACTACCGCCCAAGGATCCCACTTCTTACCACCATTACATTAGAAGATAGGGTTTCAGCACATGAATTTTGAGCAGGACACAAACATTCAGTCCCAACACCCCTCTAAGGTCAGTGTTGACCCCGTGTGTCCTGTTCTACTTTTGTCTTTGTGTAGTTTACCAAACTACTGTTTCCTTCCAGTATCACCCCAGGTCTGCTGGCCACTTTGTTAAAAGGTGGACTGGCATTCAGCCTCCTCCTCCAGTTCCAGAGAATCAGGCCCAAAATGACCAGGAAAGACATTAGGGCATGAGTCATCATCCTAGAAGCCATAGCTGAGACCATGGATGATTTCCTAGCATTTTCCTAGTAGTACTTCATACCTTAGGTACAAATAGTGTTGGTCTTCATAACTGACCATACTGTTTCACAATTCCATGCCGTAGCACATGGATGAGTAGAACCTGAAAAGAAGAGGGGAGGGACAAAGAGATATGTGAGCAATAATCTGCTTTTAGGGGACTAAGAGAGGAAAAGGAGCCAGGAGGGGAGACTGAAAGTAACATTCAGCGAAGAAGTCCGAGGAAGAACCAAGAGAACACAGTGATATGAAAGACAAGCATGGCAACTGTTCAGTGAATTAGGGGATCTAGTGGTGCTGAATGCTACAGAGATTGTGAAAGGTGACTTGAGAATAGGCCGGTAGATTTGGCAATGCAGAAGTTATAGACAACTTGCTAAGGAGACATTTCAGTCCTGTGATGCTAGCAGAACCCAAAAAGTTAAATCTAAAGGAAGTAAAGACAAAAGGGAAGCTGCGGTGATGAAAGAGTAAACCTTGTAAAGCATTTGAAGAGATTTATTCTGAGCCAAATATGAGTGACAAATGGCCCATGATACAGCCCTCGAAGATGCTGAAAATATGTGTCCAAGGTGCCTGGGTACAGCTTGGTTTTATACATTTTAGGGGAACATGAAACATCAGACAAATGCATGTGAAATGTACATTGGCTCAGTCTGGAAAGGTGGGACAACTAGAAGCAGGGGGCTTCCAGGTCACAGGTAGATTCAAAGAATCTGATTGGCAAGTGGTTGAAAAGTTATTGTCTAAAGACTTAGGAATGTCTGAGTTAAGATAAGGGATTGTGGAAAGCAAGGTTTTATCATGCAGATGAAGCCTCCAGATAGCAAGCTTCAGAGAGAATAGATTGTAAAAATGTTTCTTATCAGACTTAAAGAGTCTGTTCCATCAGTATTTCTAAAAGGGAGGAGGGTATGATGAGGCATGTCTGCTGGTCCCTTCCCATCATGGCCTGAACTAGTTTTTCAGGTTAACTTTGGAATGCCCTCGCTGAGAAGATGGGCCCATTCAGATGGTTGGAAGGCTTAGAATTTTACTTTCAGTTTACAGCTATTTCCAGAAGTTTAATGATGGTGGGAAAAGGTTTAATTAATTTGTGAATTAAATTCTTAAACACCTTTAAAAATTTTTTGAAAGGTATCTAAAGCTGTCCCTAACACCAAGAAATCTGCAAACTAATTGAGAAGATAAGCTATAGATTAAAAATTAACTGAAAATGCAAGACATTAAGAGATTGTTTGGCACTTTCCGTACTCAACCAGTTTTCACTCTATACTTTTATCCCTTTCTAATTTATTCACTTTCACAGCTTCAAAGGCCACTTCTAACATAGGCCCTGTGTACTAACGATGACTCCCAAACTGTGCCTTGGGTCCTGACCTTTGTGCTGGTCTCCAGGATCTCAAGGTCTGTGCTTCAAATTGCATACTGAGGACTTCCATCTCAACTATTGTCATACTTTATGGATTTTGTAACTGAGGCAGTGACCCTTCCAGTAATGGTGCCAGAAAGTCCAGTTTGCGGTCACTCTATCGAAAATGCTTATCTTAGCTCTAGGACTTCAAGGCAATGGGTTTCAAACTGTTTCCTGGAGAAGCAGGTGCTGCCTTTGGTTTATCCTACAGATGTTAGAATGCAAAACCCTTGTATTTATAAAACCCTTATCCCTGACTCACTTTCTGGCCTTACTCTTTGTTTTTTCTGTGACTCATTTCTAAGTTATGCTCTTTCTACTGGTAACACAGCTCCTGGGGAAAACCTGCTCATTCTCTTTTCAGGCCATAGGTCAAGATAAGGTTTAGGATCCAGAAGAGGGCATGGAAGAAGGTTATACCCATCCCTCATCTGAGAAATCCATGTACTATTCTACAAGATGAGGATAATCGTAACTATCTCAATGGAGGTTAAGTGGATGAAGAGAGATGATGAGTGCAAATTGTCTTATGGTTGTAATCAGTATTTATTGAGGGTTCAGTATGCACCAGACATCATGCTAGGCATAGACACCTGCCTAAGAGTTCCTTATGGACAGGAAGTAAATTATTATAGCAAAGTAGGAACAATGATATAATAGGAGTAAGATATATCCTGTGCTAGGGAAGCGTATGAAAGGGCGAGCAGCTCAGTGCTGAGGAAATTAGGGCATATCTCGTGGAGCAGCTGAGAAAAAGGAATAGCAGTTAGCCACATGAGGGCTATCAGGGGAAGGGACAGGAGAGGGTAGTGTAGGCCTGCAGAGAAAAAGCTCAGTGGGTTTGGGAACAGCTATCAATGATTCACTATGGCTGACCCTAGGGATGTTAGGTAGAATGTGGCAGGAGCCAGATTGAAAGAATGCCTTTTGGAAGGCCGCGGCAGGTAGATCACCTGAGGTCAGGAGTTCAAGACCAATCTGGCCAATATGGTGAAACCCCATCTTTACAAAAATACAAAAATTAGCCAGGCATGGTGGCACATGCCTATAATCCTAGCTACTCGGGAGGCTGAGGTGAGAGAATTGCTTGAACCCGGGAGGAGGAGGTTGCAGTGTGCAGAGATTGCACCATTGTGCTCCAGCCTGGGCAACAGAGTAAGTAAGATTCCATCTCAAAGCAAAACAAAACAAAACAGTGTGCCTTAAAATACAAGGATATTATTTCTATCTTATCCTGAAGCAGTAAGAAACCAGTCTCAGCCATGGAGTCACTGCCATAGATTTGTTTCTTAGAAAGATCCCACAATGTGAATCCTGGATGCAGCTGGTGAAAGTGGGTGAATTTCTAAAGTCTCATCAGTGTTTCTCAACCTTGTTTTTTTTCAATATCACCTCATAAGGAGACTTTTTAGATATTATTTCCCCAAGCACCCCACCAATTCCCATGAAACTTTAATACCCCATGCTGTCTGTCTCTTTATGCATTGTATGTGCTTTATGTATAAAATAAATAACATTGTTGGCTTCATCCACCCCCATCCAAGAACCAACTTTCACCTTCCGAGGACTGCTAATGTAACATTCCTCTAGACTAAGGCCATGAACTACTTGCCTGTTCCCTCCCCACCACTGCACGCTGTCTCCAGCTGGTCATCTACCAGCATCCTAGCTGGATTCCCTCTCCGTCACTCCAGCCCAGGGGTTCTCAAGCCCTGCATTTGGGGCTGGATATTTCTGAGTTGTGCAGGGCTGTTCTGTGCATTGTAGGATACAGAGGAGCATCCCCGGCCTCTGCCTTTGGATGCTAGTAGCACTCCCTCCCTAGTTGTGACAACCAGAAATGACTTCAGACATTGCCAACATCCCCTAATCGAGGCCCACTGTTCTGCTGCTTTAGTCCCTAGTGCTGCTACTCCTACAAGAAATATGTGCAATTACAGTGATGAATTTTTCCTCCCAGTAGAGATGGCACCACTGGGCTAGAGGGATGCTAGGAAGGAAAAGTCCTTGTCCTTTTGGCAACCTCTCATCCTGCGAGCTACTTCTGTGTCTTTTCTTTAGGCAACGCTGAACTCTCCAGCTCAGGCCTCCAGGTCCCGAGTTCATAATCTCATTACAACTAATCCTGTTTACAGCCATTCTCTTGGCAGAACAATCTTGTCTGGACCAAGGCTCTTTCCTTGCCACCCAATGTTCTTGCTGCTCCATTGTTCCTGGGGACTGTGGCCTGGCTGCATCTAAGCTTTCATTGATAGGGTTTATCCTGTTTACAGGGAGTCTGCAGAAGGGCCTCATCAAATACTTCCATCCCTTCCTTCAATAAATGACTCCCTTTGATCTGTGCAAGGCAAAATTGTGTTTATCAGAAGCTGGGCTTCCTCTAGCTGATGATGGGGACATCCTGTCCCAGACAGGCTCCCCAAAATAACACCTTCGAATTTCAGAATATTTTCAGGTTTCTCTACTATGGAAGTCTTTTTTTTTTTTTTTTCATGACATCTCTTATGGCAAGCAAAGAAAGGAGCTGATTTTACATTTTGAAGGCCAAGATAACACAAAGTTGAGCAGGTCACCGCCAAACACGAGGAAAGGACAGTGTTGATAATAATGTAAACATGTGGAACCAGAACAATATACAAGATTAGGGCTGGCTAGGTGAGATCCTTTTTCATACTGTCAATTTACAACCAGAAGTTATCTAACAAGGTGAAAAAGAGGCCATAGGTGTTAGTCATCTGTATAACAGGATGGTAGAAGCTAGCTGAATTATGCGGATGAATGGTAACTGTAATTTTACACTTCCTGAGACAGGTTAAGAGCTCTATTTTTTTTTCCGAGACAGTCTTGCTCTGTTGCCAGGCTGGACTCCAGTGGTGCAATGTCAGCTCACTGCAACCACCAACTCCCTGATTCAAGCAATTCTCCTGCCTCAGCCTCCCTAGTAGCTGGGATTACAGGCATGAACCACCATGTCTGGCTAATTTTTATATTTTTAGTAGAGACAAGGTTTTACCATGTTGGCCAGGATGGTCTTGATCTCCTGACCTCGTGAACCTCCCCCTGCCCCAACCCCTGCCTCAGCCTCCCAAAGTGCTGGGATTACAGGTATGAGCCACTGCACCTGGCAAGAGCACTATTTAGAGCAGTGGTTCTAAAAGGGTGGTCTCTAGTCCAGCAGCATGACCTGGAAACTTCTTAGAAATGCAAATTCTCAAGCCCCACCCCAGATAGTGAATTGGAAACTCAGGAAGTAGGGCCCAGGCACCTATAAGCTAAGAAGCCCTTTTGGTGATGTGATTCTCATGCATGCTAAGGTTTGAGAACCCCTGATCTGTGTCAATAATCCTCAAACTTCAGGGTACACAAGAATCACTTAAGAAGCTAGATTCCCAGGCCCCATCCCTAAAGATGCAGATTCACTTGGTCTAGAGTGGACTCAGGAAAGCTTGCATTGCTAATAAGCATCCCAGGGTGATTTGGGTGCAACTGGTCTATGGACCAAGCTTCAGGGAGCATTGGCCTATCTATAAAAAGGTGGTAGAAATTGTCCACATTGCTCCAGTCTTATTCTAAAGAGGATCCTTTCACGGCTAAGAATGAGCCAGTATCACAATTCATCTTCCCTTCCTAGTCATCTCGTGAAGCAGGCTGCTGAGGTTACCTATTATGGCAGGTGGCTCTTTTCTGGATTACTCTACTACTGGAAGGTTAGACTGGCCCCATGGGGTCCTTTCATACTGACATCTGAAGCACATTGCTAACTCCTATCCTGGGTTGGACTCAATGCTGCTGGCCTGGAGGCAAAAGCTTTTTATCCCATTACTAGTTCCTTGAACCACAGTCTAAGACACAACTTGGTTTTCCCAAGAGTTTTGTTTTGCACTGCTGATGCATTCCAGTCATTGTTAGGATGCATTTTCCTTCTCCTCTTTCCCTCCAGCCCCTGGGCAATGCCACGCATGTATATATAGCCTCCTAGCATGAACTTACTCAAATCCTAACCCTCTCTCCCAGAACCTGTCTCTGCTGCAAGGCACTGGGCCCTTCGCTCTGCAGAACTGTGCCTGCAAGACCACTATCAACAACTAATCCCAGCTCAGAAAGGGAGCCTCTGTGACTCATGCATCACCTTCCAGGTATGGTATTGCTGGGGTTTATTCCTTCCTTCCTGGTTTTGTGGCCCATGTCTCTTTAGACCTGTTCCTTTAGATTTCTTTCCACTCTGCTTTAATACCAGTTGTGAGGGTCTCTTGGGTCTCTGACTTTGCTTCTTTGTTCTACAAAACAGTATTTCTTGTGTGGTTTCCTGTGACCTGTACTCACCCAGACTTTCTCCAGTCAGTCCTTGGCATCCTACAGAGGGGGTCCCCCTCAGTCTTCAGTCACTGTAGCAATCTTAGCCCTTGTTTACAGCCCCAGAGTAGAAATGGTCATGTACAGTTTGTGCACTGCACAGACACCTGAGGATGAAAGCAAGTGGGTAGGAAACTCTGGCTTGCACTCTGCTCACCAAGATGAGTGCCTGAAGCTGCTGGAGTGTAGTGGCACTATCTCAGCTCACTGCAACCTCTGCCTCCCAGGTTTAAGTGATTCTCTTGCCTCAGCCTCCTGAGTAGCTGGGATTCCAGGTGTGCACCACTACGGCCAGCTAATTTTTGTATTTTTAGTAGAGATGGGGTTTCACCATGTTGGCCGGGATGGTCTTGATCTCTTGACCTTGTGATCCACCCACCTCAGCCTCCCAAAGTGCTGGGATTACAGGTGTGAGCCACTGTGTCCAGCTGTTTTGCTTTATTTTACATGTCAGATATTGATGTAATCACATATAACTACATTAGATGATCAGCTAAAACCAGATTAGTGTGTTTTATTGTCATGTCATTGTGTATGTGTACATGAAGACTTAGAGTGTCTGAAATTATTTTATGAGTGTCTGAAATTATTTTATGAGAAATAAATAGGTTCCCTTTTTATTCCTCATTGCTAGACTTTCTTTTCTTTTTCTTTCTTTTTTTTTTTTTTTTTTTTTTGAGACGGAGTTTCGCTCTTGTTACCCAGGCTGGAGTGCAATGGCGCGATCTCGGCTCACCGCAACCTCCGCCTCCTGGGTTCAAGCAATTCTCCTGCCTCAGCCTCCTGAGTAGCTGCGACTACAGGCATGCGCCACCATGCCCAGCTAATTTTTGTATTTTTAGTAGAGACGGGGTTTCACCATGTTGACCAGGATGGTCTCAATCTCTTGACCTCGTGATCCACCTGCCTCGGCCTCCCAAAGTGTTGGGATTATAGGCGTGAGCCACCGTGCCCATTGCTAGACTTTGTTAGAACAGCTTTAGGTTTACAGAAACACTGAGCAGAAAGTACAGAGAGCTTCCTATACCCCTGCCCACCCCATCCACCCCACTCCCGGTCTCCCCTATTATTAACAGCTTACGTGACTGTGGTACATTTGTTGCAACTGATGAATCTCTATTAGTAGATTATTATCAACTAAAGTTCATAGTATGCATTAGGGTTTACTCTTTGTGTTGTGCATGCTATGGGTTTTGACAGATGTGTGATGACATATATGCACTGTCATAGTATCCTACAGGATAGCTTCATTGCTATTGCTAAAGCTCCCCTGCGCTCCACCTATTCCTCCTTCTTTTCTTGCCTTCCTTCTCCAGGCCCTGACAACCACTGATCTTTTAACCATCTCCATCGTTTTGAAGAAAGTACATTTCTTTTCTTTGCACAAAGAACTATATACCAGCCAAAACCACAGGATGCTTCTGCCACGAGGGACACCATTCTTAAAAAATACCCACAAAGGTTTTATCCCAGCCAGCCAATGCCTTGAATCCAAGCTGTCACCCAATTCAAGAGCATTCCCTGGATGGCATCTATGTGTCCTGTCTCTCTTATTTCCCCTTATCCATCCAGCACATCCTTTTCCTGGTAAACAGTTCGATCTTTGTCTGTTTAGGCTGCTATAACAAAAAACCCATAGACTGGGTAGCTTAAAGAAACATCATTTATTTCTCACAGATCCCTCCAGAGGCTGGGAATTCCAAGATCGAGGCACCAGGCAGACTCAGGGTCTGGTGAACGCTCACTTCTTGGTTCTTAGAGAACTGTTTTCTTATCATGTCTTCACATGGCAAAAGGGACAAGGGAGCTATCCGGGGTCTCTTTTATGAAGCCACTAATCTGACTTATGAGGCCTTCACCCTCACAAGCTAACCACCTCCCCAAAGCACCACATGCTAATACCATCACATTAAGGATTAGGATTTTAACATATGAAATTTGCCGGAGACATAAACATTCCTTCTGTAGCAATTACCTCATGCTCCCCTCCCATCTACCCCCTCATCCCCCTCCTCTTCTCTGATGCATCATGTCAGCCCTGTCTGAAAATATTTTATGCAATGATGAGAATGTTCTACACCTGTGTGATCCAATAATAGCCACTAGCTGCATGTGACTGCTGAGCACTTGAAATGGGTCTCAGGTGACAGAAATGAATTTTCAAGTTACATTTCATTTGAATAATTTAAACTTAACTCCATGTGGCAAGCAGCAATTGTATTAGACCACATAGATTTAAGTTTTTACCTATGCCAGATTTCCCATTCTAATAGAATTCATAAACATCCCTCTAGTTTCATACTGAACATCCTCCACTCCCCCTTGATTCCTTCCTGACTAATTAGAAAAGATACAATTCTTCCTGACCTGGTTGCTGAAATAGTCAGCTACCATGTTCATCACATTTATTACAATTAAATTTGCACATCTAATATGTACAACTATTATATATCCATGAAAAGTAAAAATAGTTTTTAAACAGTTTAATTCAATTAAACTATTAGTTTTTTCTAAAAAAATAAAAAAATATGCACATATGCTGCTGTCTCATGTAACAGATCTTTTTTTCTTTTTGAGATGGAATCTTGCTCTGTTGCCCAGGATGGAGTGCAGTGGTGCAATCTCGGCTCGCTGCAATCTCCACCTCCCAAGTTCAAGCAATTCTAGTACCTCAGCCTCCCAAGTAGCTGGGATTACAGGTATGACCACCACACCCAGCCAATTTTTTTTGTTTTTAGTAGAGACAGGATTTTTCCATGTTGGCCAGGCTGGTCTCAAACTCCTGGCCTCAACTGATCTGTCTGCCTCAGCCTCCCAAAGTGCTAGGATTACAGGTGTGAACCACCATGCCCAGCCTCACATAACATATCTTAACATTTCTTTAATTTATGAAGCTATTTGATGTTGCTTGTCTATACCTTTTAATGCTTCCCTCTGTTGGAAGTTTTCTGTTTAAAACCCTACACTCCTAGAAATCAGAGTAGAGTTGCATAACTAATGCTTTATTTGGCAAAAACTACAAGGCCATAGTTAGTGGGCTAATGTGTCAGTTCAGGAGATTGTGGCACCACTTTTAAGGTATGAAAAGGGGAGAAGGGAAGAAATAATAGCACCAAAAGAAATTAAGAATTTATGTTCAAGAGTCAGCATGGAGTGAGGTAAGGAACTATGGATTGTTGCTCTCAGGAGGCTGGAGTTAGTTCTAAGCACATCTGTGCCACCAGCAAGTCCATAGCATTGGTCATATCACTTAATCTCTCCAAGGCTCAGCTCTCAGCTTCACAGCATGCAGGTTTTGACTGGACACTCCAATATAAGGTGTCTTCTAGATCAAAATGCTCTTTGGATCAAACATAGTCTTAAGAATAACTAGGAAAGTTGAAACAAACTTTTGTCAGACAGACCATTTCACATATTTCTGTCATCCACTTTTCCCACCTAGCAATGTTTGTGATGAATACACCAACTTTCCTGAGGACAAGGACAAAACAATATTTTAAGAAACAACAAAACTCAGTTTGGAGTGAGTCACTGGGCCTGACCATGGTGGCTAAACTGACCGCAAACCGTTGCGAATAGTCTATATGGTGTCCTTCAAACATCTGCACAGACCTTTTATTTCCAGTGCTTTGAACAAAAATAAACACAGTCATTAAGCCAAATTCTACATTCCACAAAACAGAGGAAAAGTTAACGCATAACGTTAAGTCCACAGCATAAGAGTGGACTCCTCAGCTGAATACTTCTTGCCAGCATGCCCATATGAGCAGTCAGTTAAATGCCTGGTATCTGTTATATGAGCAGTGGGAAATCTTTGCATACAAAAAAGTATGAGCTGTACTAAAGTAAAATCAGTATTCTGGATCTCTTAATGTGCACATAATTACCACTTAGGCTTCTAAGCAAAATGATTTGCTAATGGCAACTAAAATGTGACATGCCCCAGAGTGAAAAAATTGATTCATAACTTGGGAAGGTTTAACTAGATTGCCCTCAGGCAAGTGCCTAGAGAGTTTTCCTCTCTCTCCCTAAACCTTGCTTCTGCTGTCCCAATGTACAAAATAGGAATAGGGTTGTTGTGAAGATTAAATGAAACTAGGGCAGATCTTCCGAACAGATCCTGTTGCAGTGCTGCAAGCCTTCCTTCAGAAACCTTGGCACCCTTACAGTTCTGCATTTATTTATATCATCATTTGACTACTGTTCCTCTGCTGACTGTAAGTTCCATAAGGACAGGATTTATGTCAACTTTTTCTCAACATTGCATCACTGCCTCCTCACAGAGCCTGGCATATAAAAGGGTGTCAACAAAAATCTTTTGAAAGAAATGTGTAAGTCATTTGCCGTCACTGGTGTCAAATCCCTGGGTTTGGATCCTGTGCGTTTGGACAAGAAATGTTTCTGCCTCTGCCTTAGTTTCTGCTTTCTATAAAGGGGAGATTATAATGGTATCTACTTGATTGAATAGTTGTACAAATTAAGTGAGATAATATGTGCAAGGAGCTTGGAACGGTATCTGGTACATAGTGAGGACTCAATACATGCTAATGAATTTTGATGATGGCAGCGGTGCCAGCGGACATGCAACAAGCTCTTCGTAAATAATAGCTCTTCTAATTATCATTCACGGTCATCATTGAAAGAGTATTTGCCTTTTGATTATCAGTCATACGGTGGTCCTCAGTTACCTATAATATCACAGGACCACTGCTTTACCTTTCTATGTTGTGCTAGGCACAGAGGACAAAGGTAGTGTCACAGGAGATACCCAAATGATGTTTACAATGGTACATGGGTCTCTAGGGTCCAAGGAAAAGTTACCAAGTATTTTCCCACCTCTCCACTTTTATCCCCCTCTTACTTCCCAATACCTTCCCTCCATGCTTGTATGGTCTTCTGGCTATTTGACCAGTCCTCCACGGGGATTTGCAAGTCCCCAGCTTGCAAATCAGCCTTCCTTAGAGAAGCTGTCTCTACTCATCATAGTCAAAGGAGGTAATCCGTTCTCATGTAGAAATAATGTATTCATAGGAGGTAAATGACCAAAGTCTGTAGTTCTGTATCCAGGAGAGGAAGAGAAAATAATAGAAAAGACTTGAGGCTAATT